CTCACCTGAGTGAGATCTGCATGTCCTTTGTTAACGCATACAGGGGCGCCGGAGCCACGGGGGCAGCGGGGGCAACTGCCCCGTTGCCCAAACAGTGCGGGGGCAGCACGGGGGCAAGAGGTTGCCCTATTTTTAAGCAAAGTTTGAGTAATCTTTGCATAAATTTTAACCAGTTGTAGTAAAATTAATGCTAAATCAGGCAATATACATCCGTACTCAATTTAAACCAGCCAATGGCTGTTTGGACGATCATATCAAACTTGGTGTTAAAAAAAAAGTCTACTCATATTTCGCGTGTCATATTTCCAACTTTTACAATACAAATTTGAACCAAAATTTGATGTTTTTTCGTATGCGCTTCTTGTACTCTTACATTCGTGTTTAGGTAGCTCCAGTAATGGAAAGTATATATTCTGGGGCATATTTTGAATGCACTTTCCTTTGAAAATAATTCTTATTTCGAAGGGCACTTTTTAAATATGCGCGAATTGTCAAGATCTATACAGAAGAAACGAGCCGCGCGCGCGGCTGTCGAAGAAAACTGGCTCTAGAACGTGCTGTGCAGGTCTATGCCTTAAGGTAGCGCCAGATTTTAAATTTTCGTAGAATTCTGCGTATTTTAATAGAGGGCAAAACATGCAAATGATAGGCTGCTGCCGATGATACAGAAGGGAAATTTCTGACTCAGAGTCAATCTCTGCCTTCGTTTGTGCACTAATGTATCAGTCAAATCCAAGCGTGCCCATCCCCCCCGGGCAACCCTCCGGGCTTTTGACAATTTTTGAAAATATGCAACAAATTCCTGGGGGTGGGAATAAAAAACACGTGAAAATGCCCGGCAGTAGGGCAAAAAATCAGTAGCAAATCCCCCACCCCGGGGACGGCTGGACTGTTTCGCTAAGAAGAGCAGATTATCCAATTACCTGAAAATATAAAAGAGAATACTTTCTTCAATCGGCCAAGTATATCGCCCAAGTATTTCGCATGCGTTGCAGGCTACCAAGCATTGTGCGTCATACTCCAGCGCGTTTTCGTCATGCTCTAGGGCATTTATTTTTAAAGTTTGGCGTGGTTCGAATTTTAGCGTTTTATATATGACAACTTGACTGGTTTTATACATCATGGTATTTTGGGCACGTATAAAGTAATCCAAAGAATTTCAAATGCCCCGCCCCCGGGCAAAGGTTTGAGTTCAACTGCCAAACCCCGGGACGTGCTTTAAAGGAAAATGGCCCGGGGTAGCCCGGGGGGGATGGGCACGCTTGGATTTGACTGATGCATTAAGAAGCAAGTGAGTTTGTGGATTTTATTTATTTTTTTTATTTATGTACTCGTTTGTACAGTAGTCTTTATTAATTGAGGTTTTGGGAAATTCTTTTTATTTATGCGTATCTTTCTGATTTATATAACCGTGCAGTTTCTTGATTTACAAATTGTCAACATTTGTCTTAGTTAGCCATTATTGTCAATAGCATCCGTTTGGAGAGTGGCATACGAGGTGTCACGCTTAGCAGACGCTTAGTTCAAGCATTTAAGACAAAGATAATTTCTCGTCACGCTGCTTTCAAACGTGCTAAAGGTGGAAACCCAGTCAAATAGGTTTTAAATACATGGCAGAACTCGTCATGCAGTGTAACTACATACTATAATAAACTTGAAACGGATAAGCTGGATTTGTTAAGATTATTATCCTTTGCGGACTTTTTGGAGCAGGACGAAGGCCTAGGAGTGTAGTCACTGTACTCTTCGGCAAAACGTATAAGTTCGCTTAGGTCGATTTTGCGCCATCTTGTTTACATACAGTTAAGTGTCATTTGCGCGTCATTCACTGTGCGCGGGGCACCGGACACAAGTTGACTCAAATGTTCGTCGTAGTATTACGAAAGTATGAAATGACCTGATTTTAAATATTGTTATCATCATTGTCATCAACGAATAAAACTGTTCAAAATTAATGTCGAAGTTTGCAGACCCATAATAGTCACAAGTAATCGAGTATCCATATACAGTAAAGTTTTAACAAATATTGCCGTCCAGAAAAAATGATGGCTGAGAAGCAATTGCCCTTTTAAAGTGGCTGCCCCCGCCGCTTCATATTGCTTCCGGCGCCCCTGAACGGATAAAAAATTCAATGTGTGTTCATATATGAAAAAACAAGGCAGCTAGGCCGGTGAGGTGAGCTCACATCTTGTGCTAGGTGGGATCTTAGTCAAGTGAGGTAAAATTTTCAATATGAAGGCTTTATCCCACCCGACCGGGATGGGCATTTTTGGCCGATTTTCACTATATAATATAGTATTCAACGGCACAGTTGGAAAATGCTACGGCTAAAATCGTAATACAAGATGCAGTTTGTTTAATTACAACAAAGGATATTTCGAAGATTCCATGTTTACATAATTTGGTTATATCTTTATGTTACGGATCACCAATATGTGCATGTCAGTGATGTCATTAATATATATATCGCATTCCCATATATCCATATTTGTTCACAATTATACGTTATAGGCCTTATAGATGTTGTAGATGTTAAAGGCGTCAAGCCGTTATAGGTGTTACAGGTGTTAACGGCGTTAAAGGTGTTAAAGGTGTTATAGACGTTATAGGTGTTAAAGGTGTTATAGGCGTTAGAGGTGTTGTAGACGTTAAAGGCGTTAAAGGTGTTAACGGCGTTAAAGGTGTTATAGGCGTTATAGGTGTTAAAGGTGTTATGGGCGTTAAAGGCGTTGAAGACGTTATAGGTGTTAAAGGTGTTAAAAGCGTTAAAGGTGTTAAAGACGTTATAGGTGTTAAAGGTGTTATAGGCGTTATAGGCGTTATAGGTGTTAAAGGCGTTAAAGGTGTTATAGGCGTTATAGGTGTTAAAGGCGTTAAAGGTGTTATAGGCGTTATAGGTGTTAAAGGCGTTAAAGGTGTTAAAGGTGTTAAAAGGTGTTAAAGGCGTTAAAGGTGTTATAGGCGTTATAGGTGTTAAAGGTGTTATAGGCGTTAGAGGTGTTGTAGACGTTAAAGGCGTTAAAGGTGTTAACGGCGTTAAAGGTGTTATAGGCGTTATAGGTGTTAAAGGTGTTATGGGCGTTAAAGGCGTTGAAGACGTTATAGGTGTTAAAGGTGTTAAAAGCGTTAAAGGTGTTAAAGACGTTATAGGTGTTAAAGGTGTTATAGGCGTTATAGGCGTTATAGGTGTTAAAGGCGTTAAAGGTGTTATAGGCGTTATAGGTGTTAAAGGCGTTAAAGGTGTTATAGGCGTTATAGGTGTTAAAGGCGTTAAAGGTGTTAAAGGTGTTAAAAGGTGTTAAAGGCGTTAAAGGTGTTATAGGCGTTATAGGTGTTAAAGGTGTTATAGGCGTTAGAGGTGTTGTAGACGTTAAAGGCGTTAAAGGTGTTAACGGCGTTAAAGGTGTTATAGGCGTTATAGGTGTTAAAGGTGTTATGGGCGTTAAAGGCGTTGAAGACGTTATAGGTGTTAAAGGTGTTAAAAGCGTTAAAGGTGTTAAAGACGTTATAGGTGTTAAAGGTGTTATAGGCGTTATAGGCGTTATAGGTGTTAAAGGCGTTAAAGGTGTTATAGGCGTTATAGGTGTTAAAGGCGTTAAAGGTGTTATAGGCGTTATAGGTGTTAAAGGCGTTAAAGGTGTTAAAGGTGTTAAAAGGTGTTAAAGGCGTTAAAGGTGTTATAGGCGTTACAGACGTTATAGGTGTTAAAGGCGTTAAAGGCGTTAAAGGTGTTAAAGGTGTTATAGGCGTTATAGGCGTTATAGGTGTTAAAGGCGTTAAAGGTGTTATAGGCGTTATAGCGTTATAGGTGTTATAGGTGTTATAGGCGTTATAGGCGTTATAGGTGTTAAAGACGTTAAAGGTGTTATAGGCGTTATAGGTGTTATAGGTGTTATAGACGTTATAGGTGTTATAGGTGTTAAAGGCGTTAAAGGTGTTATAGGCGTTATAGGCGTTAAAGGTGTTAAAGGCGTTATAGGTGTTATAGGTGTTAAAAGGTGTTAAAGGCGTTAAAGGCGTTATAGGTGTTAAAGGTGTTATAGGCGTTATAGGCGTTAAAGGCGTTATAGGTGTTAAAGGTGTTATAGACGTTATAGGTGTTAAAGGCGTTATAGGTGTTATAGGTGTTAAAGGCGTTAAAGGTGTTAAAGGTGTTAAAGGTGTTAAAGGCGTTATAGGTGTTATAGGCGTTAAAGGTGTTAAAGGTGTTATAGGCGTTAAAGGTGTTATAGGCGTTAAAGGTGTTAAAGGCGTTAAAGGCGTTAAAGGTGTTAAAGGCGTAATAGGCGTTAAGGGTGTTAAAGGCTAAAGGTGTTAAAGCCGTTAAAGGTGTTAAAGCCGTTAAAGGTGTTAAAGGCGTTAAAGGTGTTATAGATGATAAGGGCGTTAAAGGTGTTATAGACGTTAAAGGCGTTAAAGGTGTTAAAGGCGTTAAGGGCGTCAAAGGTATTATAGACGTTGAAGGCGTTAAGAGCGTTAAAAGTGAAGTAAAAGTGAAGTAAAAGTGTCATAGGCGTTAAATGCGTTGAAGGTGTTATAGGCGTTAAAGGCTTTGAAGGTGTTAAAGGCGTTAAAGGTGTTAAAGGCGTTATAGGTGTTATAGGCGTTAAAGGTGTGGTACGTGTTAAATCTATTAAGTACGGTTTAATAAACGAGTTGCAAGAACATCGGCCGACCTAATATCATAAGATGCTCCAGTCCTGTACGATTCCACAGTTATGACAGCAGTAGTAAAAATAGGGCTGTATCAAGGCGTTGTAAACTGTTTGTAAGAATTCCCGAGGAACAGAAGTTTTCATTCGTTTAATTACTGCAATTCCTGCGTTAACTTTCTTAATAATCATATCAATCAATAATCAAATATGGTGTTCCTATGTTAATTTTTCGTCTAAAGTGATACCGAGGCAATTTGTAGCAATTTACCCTTGGGAAGGAACATTGTTAATTAAGATCGGTATTCCTGGAGGTATACTGTATATTCTTGATTAAAGTATATTCCTAAACTATAATTAGGAAGATTATTAGAAACGCTTAATAAGCTTAATTGCAGATATAGATTTGAAGATATAGATCACGTAACTTTTAGTATTTATACAATTTACAGAACATTACACGGTGG